AATCTAAATGATGTATTCAAATCGATGTGTACATTGAAACATATAATATTTCAAATACGGAATAAAGATCATATCTTTTGTATCCAAAAAAAATTAAAAATTAAAAAAAAAAAATATTAAAAGTTATGAAAGCTTATCAACTTGGTACCAACATTAGATGCAATAAACCACTGTTTTCGTCTGATTGTCTCGTAGCTTAATTTTATTTAGATTTCTACCGAATGTGGGGCACATATATGTGAGTAGTCCACTTGCAAAGTGCTCTATGTAAAATTTTTTCGATGGTTAACGTACCAGTATTTAAAGTAGTTTCATGCCCACTAAAACACAGTGCAAAATCCTTATATATACTGAAAAAAAATAGCATCAAATGTTAGCTACTTTAGCAAAAGTCGCTATAACACTTACTGTATTTATTTTACGTATTTATACAAGTTCAAAAGGCTCCATCTTCTGATGAACTTAGAAAACTGCAAGAAAACGTGGCAGTTTCGGTGCCTAGCGGAAAGCGTAAAAAACAAGCAGACCAATCTTCATGGAAGAGAGAACGCGAAAAATTACATAAAGCTAGCTATGTAAAAGTTACTGTTTCAAAATTCGCTATATTAATTTTTTATATATAAAATATGCAAAAACTACCATACTGCGATTTTGTTTTTTAATGCTATGAGGCTCTTATTTATCCAAATTTTAAGTTATTAAGAAAAAGATACAATTCGGATTTTACTTGTTGTTGTAGACGTTTTTTTTTTAATTTATGGCTTACTATTATAAAATCACATAACGCTGTTTGCAAGTGGACTACTCATGTGTCTTTTTTAGCTTACGTCACTCGAAAATTTTACTTCAAATAGGTGTTTTATTTGATATCAATTATTTTGGGATAGCAAATTTAAAATAAACGAAGATCCAAACATAAATTGAAATGTTTTATTTTTCTTAAATAAATTGCTAAAAACGCTATCTAGATCTAAATAATTTATTCAGATATTTAACATAGAATTCAATTCCATTGAAACATATAATTTTTCGAGTACAGAATAAAGCGACAAAGAATGATCATATCCTTCCTATCAAAAAAAATAAATAAATAAAACAAAGATTAAATGTGAAAAATGATCAAAAAGTAGCAACTTGGTACCAACATTAGATACAATAAGCAACTGTATTCGTCCATTGTCTGCGCTGCACACACGTGTTTTTTAAGAAGTTTTACTTCTATCACGAGTACGGTGCTGCACCCGCCTTACTCATGCGTTTTTCTCAGTGGCAATTTATACATAATTTGTAGCGGCACATAAAGTGAACTAAATGCATTCATGCATATGTATGTACAAATGTAGGTAAGAATGTATGTGTCTACACTGAGAAAAAGGATTAGTTTCGACAACTAAATATATTTAGTTACCGAATTTTGACAATATTTGGGAACTGTTACCAAGGATTGGGAACTATTACCATGGGTTAGTAATTATAACTAAATATATTAAAGCTTCTAATATTCATCTAGATTGTACCAGATCGTTAATTTAGTTGAAGGGTTTGGTAAATACTAATAAATATTTCTTTGGACCATATTGCTACAAATTCCATTCAACTTAACGTATGGTTATTAAGCTCTGCTAATGCAGAAAAGCTTTCTTTCAACACATGGTTTAGTAATAGTTACCAAATCTTAGTTGAGGCAACCACGATTTGCTTTGAGAGCGGAACCTATTCATACTTGTAAGCCACCCCTAAAGAATGCTGAGCGCTCTCTGAGCACATGTGTTCACATACGAAGAGCGCCAGTTAAGCAATGCACACAGTCCCACTTATTGAATCGTTTGAATGTGGTAGTATGCCGACCATTATCTCGATCACTGCGCTAGGTAGAGAAGGAAGTGTGTGCTATGACATGCCCAGACTTGTTTGTCTCAGATTCAGTTTTGCTATCGCCGCGAGTTGTTGTGCTCCATTGACTTTAATTAACTGAAATATATGCTTCCTCATACTTACGACATAATAGGGGTATTCTCCAAATCTTGCAAAGCCAGTGCACGTAGCACGGATTGCATAACTTGCAAACACACAACAACAAAATACATGGGAAACAACATTTTCTATCAGCAACCAGTTTATGCCACTCTTGCAAAATCGCCAATTTAAGCCATATAACGTTTGCAAATTAGCGATTATCAGCATAAACTTTCTTTGCCAGTATTCTCCACAGTTTCCATTGGAGGTCACGAGAGCTCAAGGGTTCGAATATTACTGGTTTAAAAGCAGCACCGTTTTGCTGAAAAATTCAAAAACCTTTAACCTTGAATAAATTTTTTTGCAGACTTGGGATCGATGGGAATTTTTGACATTTCATTCATACAAATTTCTCTTAAGCAAATAACATTCGTAACACTTTAGTAAATATTAATTAGCATATTAACTTAGCATCAATTAAAGATATCTTCTTTTAAAATTGCGCAGGCTCGAAACTGACTTGAGAGCTATGATCTAGAGGATTTTTTTTCTTAGAATTTTATGAAGAATCCGAATCTGCTAGGAACGATGTCGAAAAAAATCTGTCCATACAAATTGATCCGCTCTAATGTATATATATATTTTGAAAGCCGCTTTTTTCTGCTCGCAAAGTTCGAGAACGGCTGTACCAATTTTTTTGAAATTTCGGACTGCATACTTTCCAAGGACAGTGGCACCTCCCATACAAACAGAATTTTTCACACTGCGTATCTCTGGAACAGTGATCGGACTTAAAAAGAATTGTGTGGTAGAATTTGGAAAAAATGTGGTAGGTTTCAAACAAATGTGGCAGACCTCAGTTTTTTGATAGTTTACTATTTATTTACCTTTTTTATGTCTACGAAACAGAAAATATATTAGTCGGATTAATGAAGCGTCGCGAAGTTTTGCAAATGTCGCATTTGTCGCAAAATTTGCCACCTTGCGACACAGCTGATTACTTTTGTATGGAATCTCTCTTGCGACAAAATTGCGACGTTGCCATACTATTTGAGCTGGCAATCATTGCAAAGTCGAAGTCGCGAAATACATGTTTTTTTATTGTCTTCAAATACTTCAAGAAAAAGTATATCAGTTAAGGCTGCTTTGAAACATAATTGTAAGGCTTTACTTTTTCTCTAACGCGCGGCATTTTCAAAAAAGTTTACATTTGCAATCCGGAGTTGCGATAGGTCGTTCATACCACTTTGTTCGCAACATTGCCTTTTCGTCAAAAATGCCATTTTGCGACGTTTTATGAATAGCACTAATAAGTATTAATAGTAGTATAGCTCATTGTCTAAAAAACCATATAAATCCGAATTTCAAACCTTGTGCACTAAAAGGAGTTGCCTATACGCCGCGATGACTGAATTCAGCATCCCCGCCAAACTGATACGGCTGTGTAAAATGACGTTGAGCAATACCACCAGTCCCGTCAGAATTGGGAAAAGACCACTCCGAGCCGTTCTCTACCAAACGGGCTTTCAGACAGGGCGCGACGCCCTTTCATGTGATTTATTTAATCTGATGTTGGAGAGGATAATAAGAGCTGTAGAAGTGAACCGCTCTGAACTATTTTTTTCAAGAGAGTGCAATTGCTGTTGTATGCCGGCGAAATCGACATCATCGGTAACAAGAACCGCGAACTCTGGTATGTCTTTTCAAAAGTTGGATAAGGAAGCAAAGCAATTGAGTCTGGTGATTAGCGAAGACAAGACGAAATATATCCTGTTATCAAACAAACAGTTAGCGCATTCGCCTCTTGGCACTCACGTCACTGCTGATAGTTATAAAGTAGAGCATTTCGTTTACTTGGGAATCAGCATTAACACCGATAATAATGTCAGCATTCGATAGACGTAGAATCACTCTTGAAGCAAATGCTACTTTTTATTGGGAAGGCAATGCAGAAGTAAAGTCCTCTCGACGTAAGAAAACCTAATTCTATAATAGAGGTGGAGAAACATCGATGTTGGCTACCATCGATGTTTTCGATGTTTTAAAGCTAATGTATGAACTTAATTTTGACTATGAATGCGCCCGAATACGTTTTTGAAAATAAAATAAATCAAAACGACGTTTGGTCATAGCAACATCGCCTCTCGGTCGCCCCTCGGCAGGCAATGGCAAACCTCAGAGTATATTTCTGCCATGAAAAACAGCTTCTCAAAATACAATCGCCGTTCGGAGTCGGTGTAAAACTGTAGGTCCCTTCCCTTTGTGTGACAACATCAAGGCCCACACCACAAATCGCAGCAGAAGCTCGGCCAAACACTAACATATGTGTAAGCACCAATCTATTATTATTATTATTATATTATTAAAAAGAGATACAAGTTGTTTTATTAAATGTCTTTAAAAATGTTTTGATTTTTGGTTAGGAAGGTTATAAAGTTGAAACTTGTATTATTTCATTTTACATGCGCACTAAGAAACATCGATAGTCGCCATCAACCATCGATGTTTAGCAAAAATGCAAAAACATGGATGCATCGATAGTGCCACTCATCGTGCCCGTGCAGTTATATGACGCAGAAGCATAGACAATAACAACATCCGATTGAGTATTCGAGAGAGATTTTGCGGAAGATTTACGGGCATTTACGCACTGGCGACGACGAGTACCGAAGACGATGGAACGATGAGCTGTTAAGCGCATTAAAATTCAGCGGCTCCGCTGGCTTGACCATGTCGGTCGAATGGACCCCGACGCTCAAGATCTGAAAGTATTCAACTCGGAACCCGCTAATAGTGGCAGAGAAGAGGGAGGTCCTGCGATGGAAAGACCAAGTGGACAAGGACTTGGCATTTCCAATTGGCGTTAGTGTGCTCAGAAAAGAAACGACTGGCGTGCTTTGTTGAAATCGGCCAAAATCGCTTAGGCGGTTACAGTGCTAAATAAGGAAACGAAGTATGTATATATGTATGTATGAACATACATATGTATGCGAGAGAACTGTTAATCAGCTAATAATGTTCTGCATGTTTCTTTTAAGAATCACCTGAATGCATAAAGCCTTAGTTAAGTTCATTTCGTGTAAGGCCGTAGGTAAGTTTAAATTGAATGCACGGGATGAACGGGATAATGTGACTACCATTGCATATATATCAACTGCTGCATTCGCTAATCTATTCAAGATATACTGCTCATGTATTATATTTTTTCCATGCTTCAATATAAGCTCTTCAACAGTTTTGCCAAACAATTCGATACATGCAGCTGTTTTTTGGGCATAACTCTGGAGCTCTGATGTTACATAAGGTTTGAAGTCAACTGCCCCAAATCCAATAGACGTCGAAACTCTCCTTGATATTTCACTAGATATAACTCCAAAGTTCGCGGCCGGATTTTTAAAAGCCTTTTGCAGAAATTTTAAGTTGGATGCGGCATACTGAATCCCCGTGAGTGATACGAAAAGTCGTAAAATGTCGTTAGTTCCTTCGAAAATTCGAAATATTCTTAGATCACGTAACACACGTTCTAATCCGGCTTCTTTCATGTAACCCATTCCTCCTAGTATTTGAATGGCCTCGTCACACACATACCAAGCAGACTCAGATGCAAAAACCTTAGATATCGCAGCTTCCAAATGGTATTCCTTACTGCCTTTATCCATATTCTGCGATATTGTGTAAGCCATTGACTCAGTTGCATATTGAAGTATACTCATTTGAGATAATTTCTCTTGTATTGAGCCATATTCATTTATTTTTTTTCCGAACTGCACTCGGTTGTTAGCATGTGAGACGGCTTTTTGTATACAAGTTTTCATTGTACCGGCTAGGGTAGCCCCCATTCCAAATCTGCCATTGTTTAATATAGTCATGGCCACTTTAAACCCTTCGCCTTCCTGCCCTAAAACATTCTCGATGGGAACTTTAACATTTTCAAAATATACTTCTGTTGTATTCGATGCCTTAATTCCCATTTTTTTCTCCGGTGGTCCACTGGTTATGCCTCCAAATGATCTCTCTACGATAAAAGCTGTTACCTGTAAATAAAAAAAAATTATAAAAAGTATATATTTGCTAGGCAGAAAGTTCACATAAATACAAAAATATCTATACTAGCTTATATATGTAATACTTCTATATTGGCAGTAAGCTAACTTCTCAATGTGTAAGCATTCCGAAATCAAAGCGAGACAGTCTGGTACCGTTTTTGTCAATGTATTGTTTACTTGAGCGCCGTTTTTGTATATGTGTTGTGTGTTTATTTATAAACGTATGTGTTCCTTTTCTTTCGTACGTGTTTATTGATATATCTGTACTGTAGTGTTTTCGGACGGTACTAGCTCTTACCGCCAATATAGGAGTATTACATATATGTACTAGCCCAGTAAAATTAGACTTAAAAAAAAAAATTGTAACAGCGATTTTTTGATGCAGTTTACTTCTATTTGACTTCTATTGACTATTCCGCCATCTTGGATTTAAGTTTTTTTTGGGTTTTTGGCGAATTGCAAGCTTACTTTGCATTTTTCGTAAAAAATTGTTCAATACAAATTTGTAGAGAATTTAATTTTTCACCTTTGTTATATAGAAAGTTTTAAAAAAACATTTTTTATTGTAAGTAATTAGCAAAAACTGCGACCAAATTTTACATTGTCACGGTATTCGCCATTTTTCGACAATTTCTGATGAAAATACATATATTGAAATTGTAAAGTTGTACAGAATTGCATTCTCCACAACTTTTATACGTACATTTTTTTTATGACGTTTAGATCACGACCGGGAACGTGCCAAACATAGCGATGTAAGGGATGCGGCGTAAACCGTAGTGCCAACCACCGGAACCAGTTGAGAATCTAAACCATCCAGGAACCCACTCAAAAACAAAGGTCCAGCCGCTTAGGAAGAGCTCAGTGATATACACACCCACAGAAGATTACCGGCGTTGTAAAACTGATCCGCCATTTGAAATTTTTAAATCTGATTTTAGATTCGTAATCAGAGACCTTAAGAACCCTTCAATGTTAAGTTTTAAGCGAATCAAATTCATTAAATTTTTTTTCGCCATTTTGGGTCCGCCATTTTGAATTTTTACAACCTGACCCAGATTCATAATAAGCGGCCCCAAGAACCCCAGAGGAAAACTTTTCGAGCGAATCGGATCGACTTAAATTTTTTGGCCATCATATTCGGTTCGCCATTATGAATTTTTAAAATCATGCTCTAGATTCGTAATCAGCAACCTCAAAAGTATAAGAGCCTGCAGTTATTTTTTCTTTTTTAGTGTCGGGTTCTCCGGTGGCACAAAAGTTGTAAAGTAAAATCTAATTTGCGGTTAGTTTAGATGCCATATTTGAGACGCCATGTTAAATTTTTGAAAATGCCACACTGTTTTCAATGGGGACGTCAATGTGATCATTTTAAGGCCTTAATCTTTGTAATCCGTCCTGTATACGTTATATGGAAATGAATTTTATGCCGCCTCACTTACATCGCTATGTTTGGCACCTTTCCGGTCGTGATCTAAGCGGCTGAGAGGTAACAAGATCAATGGAAATAAGGTCAATTGACACTATTTCGCATACTGGTGCGAAATAAAGTCAAATGACATTATTACCTTTTCCAAGGCGAAAAAGGTCAACAACAATTTGGAAATAAAGTAAATGATGCTATTTCCTCATTCAAATGGAAATAGCGTCAACAATGCTTAAAGTATATCGATTAAAAGAAGAAAATGTTGTTCTTGCATCGTACGTGAGATATGAATATTGTTACCAGGGTTCAGATTTATCTCATTTTAGCCCCTCGCTCGGTCATTAGTCTGCTATGAGCTTGCGCAACTCACCGCGCATCAGCCGAGGCTGTTTGCAAACGAGTACTCGTTAAGTGCGAGCGCACGCGCTGAGTAGCCAGCAAGCGAGTAAGCAAACGAGGGCAGCGCATAGTAGAGCGGCCAGAAAATGAGGCCCTCATTAGCTCTGCCCTCGTGAGCGCGTCGTTGCGAGCGAGACGCTCGTTTTCCTTTCAAAGGAATTGAAAATGTAATTTTTTTTCCAATTCCCTTGAAAGGAACTGAAAATGTAATTGATTTTTTTTCGAATTCCATTCCTCAAAGTAATTTATAAAGTAATCGAAAAATTAATAAAAAAAATTTTTTACGGTTGAATTGCAATAGCTTTGTTGAATTTCTTGCTTGCTAACTGCCTTGAATAAATAACTTATACCTAAGTAGTATTACTAATTGGACTTTAAGAAAACTGAATAACTTAAACTGTAGCTGTTCAGTTTATAGGGTAACGGTTAAATTTTCCAGATCCTACCGCTAACGCTTCGCGGCAGATGAGACCCATAAATGTCGAAGCAGGCATAACCGGCCGGACTGTTGCTGCCTTGGGAACTGCTATTCTCTTGGACTAATCCCTTCGTATCTTTAAAAATGTACTGACTTAATTGTTTATATTATGGTAACCTTAATTCTACTCAAAATGGCGTGCCTTCTGGGGTCTTTGAAGTACTCTTACTGGTATCCTGCGTTACAAATGAGGATAGAGTCCGCTTGAATCACGAGCCCTGTCGGACTGGAGATCCTACCTATTAAGAGTTTTATAAACAAATTGCATTGCTTTGGCTAAATTTTGATGATAACACTGTAAGGACGCTAAAATTACACAAAAAACGCGTGAGACACCTAAAATTTATTTTAAGTAGCATGTTACGGATCTGTATACCGTTTTTTTTAGATAAGGTCATTTATTCAAGTTATTTTCATTTTAAGTTTGCATTGCGAATGAAAAAAATTCAAACTTTAACATAAAAATAAACAAAGAAATGCTAAAATTAGACTATCATGATTTAAAATATTTTTCCCGAGTGATCAACAAAAATTTAACATAGATTGTACATTTACACTGAAAGGTTGTGTCTTTTACAAACGTCCGCAAAGGTTGCAGTTGAACAGGCAATTAGGGTGGTTTTGTCGTGGTTTTTGAAGAGCTTGTGCGCTGTTGTTGCAATAAAGGGTAGGTTTTTGATTTCTTAATCTACTGAAGGCAGAAAAACGGGGAAGGTTTATTTATTAAAACCGGTCATTTGTATTTTATATTGTAATTGTATCTGAAATGTTTCAAAATTCCTTTATATAATTCTCTTCTCATGGAGAAAATTTAAAATTTTTTAATGCTAATCTTAACTAAAGATGTTTAAAAAGATATAAAATATTCTTTATTTTATCAATTTAACTGCGTTCAAATTTTCAAACAGGTGGCAACCCTCCTCAAAAGTATTTTTGAAACTCTTTTTTAAACCTCTTCAATTTGATACCTAGATCAATTAAGCTTAGTTAAATTTTCAAACAGGTGGCAACCCTCCTCCAACATATATTCGGCACTAAGCCTTCTTAAAAGTCTTTAGTTTGATTCCCAAAATGCAGTATTTCATTTATTTTATCAAAATAACCGAGATTAAATTTTTAGAGGTGGCAATTTTACTCAAAACTATTTCCAGAAGTTATTTTTCTTAAACCTTTTTAATTTAATATCTATATTGTAATATATCATTTAGTTTATCAACTAAATTGCGCTAAATTTTTTAAGAGGTGGCAACCCTCCTTGAAAATATTTTCGACTGTAAGCCTTTTGAAAACTCTTCACCCACATGGCAATATTTCATTTACTTTAACAATTTAACTGAGTTACAATTTTCAAATAGGTGGCATCCCCCCTCAAGAATATTTCCAACAGTTATCTGTCTTAAACCTCTTTAATTTGATACCCATATTGTATTATTTTATTTATTTTATCAATGTAATTTAGTTAAATTTTCAAAAAAAAAGACATATTTTCGGCAGTAAGCCTTCTTAAAACTCTTTAGTTTGACACCCAGATGGCAATATTTCATTTATTTTATCAATTTGACAATTAAAATTTTCAAATAGGTGGCAACCCTCGTCAAAAATACTTCCAACAGTTATATTTCTTAAATCTCTATTGTAATAATTCATTAATTTTATCAATATAATTGGATTTAAAAATTTTAAAATAGGTGGCAACCCTCCTAATTTTTGCGATATCATTGGTTCTGGTATTATATTATTCAAATCGGTTCAGCCGTTCTCGAGTTTTGATGACCGTGACATACGATACAACATTTTTATATATATAGATATACATAGAAGATGTCCAATGTGTGCTTTCGAATTTAATCTTTGACCACAACAAAAATTCCACATTGTACATTCGTGAATGAACTTTCAGTTTCTCGATTACTTTTAAAATTCCTTTGAGTAATTGAAAAAACTAAAGTACTCTTGCAATTCCAGGTAATGGAATTGAAAAAAAATCAATTACATTTTCAATTTCTTTCAAAGGAACTGAAAAAAAATTTTACATTACTAGCACGTAATTCATTCCAATTACAATATAAAACTCCTTATAATGGAATTGAAAAAAAAAACAGTTACATTTGAAATTACTTCAAGGAATTGAGAAAGTAATCGATTCCTTTGCTGTGGACTGAAGGAATTGATTCCTAATTACAATTCCTTGTAATTTGTAATTGGGAGTAATTTAATTCCTAAAGGAATCATTACCCTGCAGGAAGTTGAATTAGTTTGAAAGTAATTTATAAACTACTTTATTTGCAATGATAACTAATTCAAATTCTCACTATTTTACCTGCAACCAACTCATTTATTTAACATGGCGATGTCCTAGGAAGCAGTCAATTGCCTTTTCCTGCATGTATTTTCAACTACTTTAAAATGAATTTGGCTTAAACAACTTCAAAGTCAGCATATTTCGTTCGATGCGCTTTCGTTCTGCACTTCACAGATGCTTTTTCATAACTAAGAAAAACCGAAATTTAAAATTAAATGAGATTTTGGCTGCGACCAATTGTAGCAAACATCTTTGCACGGTCAGCTACAGCCAGACATGTAAATGTGCTTTCAATTGTTCAGTTTGTATTGTATGCAAGCAGCATTTAATTTCAACTACTTTAAAATGAATTTGGTTTACATAACTTCAAAGTCAGTGTGTTT